GTGTACGAGTGTTGTGGGATAAACTGGACGGACTGTCGATAAAGTGTGGTGGGAAAACAGTGGGACCTCGGCAGCTGACTTGACTGGGTAATGCAGTCGTGGCCCTGAGTGCTTGCCTCCGGTAGTAGTAGTAGTGCCAGAGTACGGTAACCAGGTGTGCAAGTTTTTCCACTCCATGTCGTGGGATCGAATCTAATACACACATGAGGCACTTGTAAGCGGTCCTCTTGCAAAGTTTTTCTGTAAATTCCTTAAAAGTCATGTGCTTTTGGATGCCAGCCCCGGCCAATCCTGCCAACTTGACAGCCAATTCGACACCCTGTCAGGCTAATTCGATACCCTGTCAGGCCAATCTGACACCCCGAACAGGTCAATTCGATACCCTGTCAGGCTAATTCAATACCCTGTTAGGCCAATTCGGCACCCGGACAGGCCAATTCGACACCCGGACAGGCCAATTCAGGCGCAGCACAGCCCAATTCCGAGGCTCCACAGCGCAATTCGAATACCTCCGGCGGGTCCGCCAGAACAATTCCAGACCTCGGCAGACCAATTCTTTTGTCAGGAATAAAATCCAGGCTAATTCTGCGACAGAGCTCTTCCCTAATTCCAGCCCGAATCCTACCCTCCTGCAGAAGTACGTCAGCCTTTACCTGTGCACGATCGAGTTCCTGAGGGGTCGGCAGCCGAAATGCGGCGGTCGCCTCATCGATGAGGCAGTACGTCAGCCTTAGCCTCAACCACACGCCTGTGCGCGGAGAGGGCAAACGGAGTAAACACGAAATGAAAAAGACGTGGGGAACGTGGGGGACATGGAGGGGGTGGGGGCCGGAAGGCCGGCAGGATGCAGCGACCAAATCTTGTGATAATGCCGATAAGCCGGATCAGTTACAAATCCAATTTTGACCCAATATGCAGTTTTGCAAATGGGAGAAAGTAGCCGCTGACACTGCCAATAAAATGGCTGTACGGTGTACGGCCTGTACGGATTACCAAGCAACGAACCCCGTACAATACAACCTACCTTCTCGGGTCGTTAAGCCGCAACAGCCGTCCGCCGCCCGCCAACTGGTCCCAGCACCGCCTTGCAAACAAACAATACAACGGTGGAGTGCATCACGGGAATGTACGGCAGGTTATAGCAGGTTGGGGCCGGGCACAACATGGTTATGCTTGCTAATGTTTTGTTTATAGCTCCTTTTCTCGACCTGTCAAAAGCACGTGCCGTACATTCCGCACCCCTTTCATACGCCTGCAAGCGAATGCCGTAATCTCCTCCTCCTCCCCCTCCTCCCACTAAACAAATTCGTTCCACAATTCATAATTCAACCTAAGCATCTTCTGTCGTACTGCCGTACTCACGCCAGGCTACTCGTGATTAGATCGGCGCTGTAGTTCTGCGGAGCCGCCAGTAGAAGCTTGGCGGAGCGGCCAGCGGCGGCGGTGGTGGCGGAGGGGTAAAAAGGGAAGGAATGCTGCTGGCGGCTGGTGCCCCCGGGCCCGGCCCCGCCATTGCTGCTTCCGGAGCTGGGCCGGAACATCAAGGGCGCGAGCTGGGGAAGCTCTGCTGCCTTCAGGATTTGAAGACGCTCCGAGTACGGTCTTGCCGGTGCCTGATCGGGACAGACAGACAGACGCGTCACACATGAGAGCCTCTCTACCTAGCCGCCAAGACTAAATCAAAGTGCGGAAAGAGAGCAGTAAAACCAAAAGAGGGGTCCAGAAAGGAGGAACGAAATGCAGTTATTATGGGCCAACGGTCACTGGTCAACCGCCAACGGTAAACCTACCTGGCGGGCCGAACAGTACAAACGGAAGGTCACGTCCGGCGCCGCACAGCATCGCAGCGCACGCAAGCCGTTGCTCCGGGTTCAGTGCCGTACCGCCCATCAGCCTCAGCTGAGCCGCCACCTCCGCCAGCTCCTCGTCGGCGGCTGCGTCAGGAGTGCCAACCTCCACCTCCTCCACGTCCTGCTGCTGCTGCTGCGGCGGCGGCGGAACCGCAGGAAACAATTCGTCTGGGAAGACGGGTAGACCCGCCTGACGGGACGCCGTGTCCGTATCAAGCTCCTGCGGGGGCGGCGGCGGCGACGGCGGCCGCAGCTGCTGCGGCTGCAGCGCTGCCCGCAGCAGCGCCTCGTGCATACGGACAAAAGGCGTGCGGTCGAAGGAGAAGGCGCAATGCGCTAGTGGCGCCCCTGCCGGCACCGCTGCCGGCACCGCTGCCGGCACCGCCGCGGCGGCCGCGTCCGCCGGCGCAGCCGACTGCTACTTGCGGGCGAGCTCCTGTGCAGGACAGCATCGGCATGAAGCCCCTCCCAGGAGGGAGCGGACAATGAACAGTGTTTCATTAAAGTGATTATTTAAAAATAAAATAAAAATACTTTACAAATAGAAGATACATTTTGTTTTTCTCCAGCTATTTTTGTACAAAATCGAAAGCGGGACAGGAACTGAAGAAACTGCCATTAAACAAGACAACCACCTCAACCACCCAACCACCAACCACCTAACTACCCAACTACCCACCCGGAGGTCCTGCCAGTACGCCGGCGGCATTACTAGGAGCACCTGCGTTATGAGGGACAACAGGAAGCCGTACGTAATACGTAAGAGTTACAAGCTATTCTAAGTGCTCGAGGATCTTTGTACAGTGTGGTGATGTTTGGTACTTTAAGCCAGTCCATGTATTCACAGATCACTGGGAAGTGAGTGAAAGGCATGGCTTGGTACAGGACCATGTATGCGCCACCAAACAGAGCCAACAAGGCATTGTCGGCAACCTCGGTCATGGCCAGGTGCTTGTTAGTTTGCTGCTGATGATGATCCTGGGCGTACTGGTCTACAGCCGCTTTGTGGGAGTGGGAGGCCTCGTGCCGGGTGTAAGCTGAGCGATCCCAGTTCGTGCGGGAAATGGTGGCGTTACTCTTCTTATATGTGTCGCAAAAAAAGCAGATGACCGTCGTCGAGCCCTGAAGTGCATAGGCCCAGCTCTTGAAATCACCACCACAAGCGTCAGTCAGCCAAACAATGTCCTCGTTGGGAGTATGAGGCCGCTCAAACCCCGGGGGGACACCAACAGCATCGATCTTGTTGGTGGACTTGGTGCGCTTCCATTGCGGGTTGGCGGTGGCATTGGGGGTGGCGGCGGGCAGGAGTGTTGCCGGCTGCTGTTCGGGGGCGGTGGTGTTGGGGGTGGCGGGCAGGAGAGGTGCAACCAGCACCTGCAGAAATCAGCAGCAGCAGCAGCAGCAGCAGCAGAAATCGTCAGCGGTTCCTCTTAACCCCCTTCCCCGCGCCCCCCTTTTCGTATCAGTCTGTCCTCCGTGGCATGAGCTTCACTCGTTCACGTGGCTCGTCTTCCCAACCCCTCCCTCTTGCCGCCCAGGCTACACCCAGCGTGGAGATCAAGGGCGCCCCCGGCGGCGGTCCCTCCCCCCACCCTATCGCGTTACGCGATGTCCAAGCCCTCGTGATGTGGGTGCTCTCCCCCGCGGGCAACCTGGTGGAGTCGCCCAGGTGGGCCTTTGTGAAGGTGAGGGGGGAGGACGGGGGGGAGGGAGAGGGGGAGGAAGAGGGGGAGGGAGAGGGGGAGGAAAACGGTGGAGGCGGTGGGTGGGTGGAAAGGTGGAGCGCATCTGGGTTACACGGCGTGTCGCGTGTGTGTTTGCAGGTCATGTATAAACAGATACGTGCTGCCCGTCCCTCCTTTGGGCGTAACCCCCGCCTTATCCGGGCTCACCTGTACGGCACCTGTACGGCAACCCACATTGCAGAACAAGCCGCTGGTCCAGGGGGTGGTGCTGGTGCTGGCCTCGGGCTTGAGCAGCGCCATGATGAAGGAAAAACAGGTGGGTGGGTGGCGGTTAGCGGTAAGAATGCTGGTTGGTGGTTGGTAGTTGGCTCTTCTTTAGTGATCTTAGGATTTTGGCACTTTACCAAATTCTGTACTTCTTGTAGCATTTCGTTCCTTAACCACGCAACGTATGTGCATTCTTTGATCGGGGTGGGGGGAAGCGCTGCTCGCTTACAAGAACGTTTGGCTCGTGTTGATGTTGTTGCAGCTGTTGCTCCTACTGTTCATGTTGGTGTTGATGGTGAGGGGATGTTACACTGCGTGGGCAAAGCTCGCCCTGAGAAAGGGCGACGAGCACCGTCGTTGGCCCTGACGGGGGGCCGAAACACAGCTGCAGCGCAGCGGGGGCGGCCTCGCGTCTACGTCCTGTTGTTTCTGGTGCTGTTGAAAGCACACGCACAAGGCGGGGGAAGGGCTTACTGAGGGGGTTACTGACCGTGCTGTTTCATGAACTTCGTGTTTCGACCAAAAAAACCTGAATGTGTTTTTATTTATTCGGCACATGACATCCCTTTCCCGGCTGGGACGTGTTTTTACCCCCGCACGCGTGTGTGCGTGTGCGTGTGTGTGCATGTGTGCGTGCGTGTGTGTATTTTCACGGCGTGTCCGAGTCCCTTTGTCCATCTTCCGAACCACTGCTCGCTGTACTGCACGTTGTTGAACTTGGATTTGAATTTGGGTTTTCATTTTCCCCCCACTTCTCCCCCCCCCACCATCACCACCTCTCCCCTGGCGGCTACCTCGCCCACCCCCGCCCACGCACCCCACCACCACCCCACAGCACCTGCTGCCGTTTCTGTCGAACCTGGGTCGACCGGCTGTCGTACACACCTCGCCGCAAGCTAAACCGGGTAGGGGGGGAAAAGGGGGGGAAAGGGGCGGGGGAAGGTGTGATTGAGCTTTGGGCTCTGGGCCCCCGGGGGGCGCGGGCAGGATAAAAAACGGGGGAGTCTCGATCTCGGAAGAATGAGAAACCGCATCATGCCTTGTGAAATCATAGTAAGTAATTCAGTCATCAAGGGCAACAATTCATGAATCTGATAAACAAAAAGGTTTTCCTTATATATATATAAAAACCCATTCTCTTCAGAAACAACTATCAGAGCTATTGTCGAATCCGAATTAGCTTTAATCCCTTTGAAGGCGATGTAACACAACACGTGAATGTTCACTCGTCCCCTTCAAAACCCACATCAAAAAAGGGGGACGGGAAAAAGGGGGACGAGGGTCTACGGGACTCGAAGCCTGTGGTGACTGGTTTCCCTGCGGCTGCTGCGGCGGAATTGGGGCTCTGTCATATCTCCCCTCGCCCCCGGACTTCGCAAGCCTTTCAGTAAGAAGATAAACCTCTAAAACCCGACAGACCCTCCTGAACTCCGTGAACAGCTCTCTCCCCCCCTTTCCCCCCTTTCGTGGTCCGTCTCCCCCCTTTCCCCCCCGACCCCGTATCCCTGCCCTCCCTTCAGCTCACAACACAACGGAGCTCCTAAAAACCAAGTTAAGTCAACGTAACGCCAAGCGAAAGAGATCCGCGTCGTCCCCCGCCGGTGCCGGCGCCGCCACCGGCGCAGTGGAAGGCACGGAGGACGGGGAAGGGGAGGAGGACAAGGAGGAAGCGACCGCTGGCGGGTCAGCGGCGGCGACGGCGGCGGCGGTTGCTAGCCTTGCGCCGCCAAAAGGTGCCCCGGCGGAACGGCGAGAGAAAGGCGGTCGGGCTCCGCCGCCGCCACCACCGCCGTCGTCGGTCAGTTGCCTCCAGGTCCCTTCCCGCCCTCGCACTACGTGGCATCATTGGACGAGCTTAAGCAACATAACTACCCGTTGCCGTACTTGGAGGAGGAGGAGGGTGAAGAGGGGACGGGGGGAGAGGAACGAGGAGGGGAGGAAGAAGGTGGCGGCGGCGCGCGGAGAGGCCCGCAGAGGCGGCTTGTATGTCCTGCGGGCTTTGTGGCGACGCGACCTTCGGGTAATAAGGACCTAAACAGGATGCGGGTTCGGTGCAAAACTGCTTACGTGGCTTGTGTGGATGTCGCTGTCTTTGGGGCGTGTATTCCCCCAAAACCCGTTGCCGAATCCGACCCGCGCCCCCACCCCCCCGGCCCCACCCCGCCTCAGGATCTTCACCCCGGCATGAACCGCGGGGTGGCGGTGCTGTGTCGTCCGCTTGTGTTCGTGTCACCTCCACTGAACGCGTCGGGCACGCTGTGAGTCTGAGCATTTAACACACTGAACATATGTGTACACATGCGTACCTACATACTTACATACACAATCGCCACTTCCTACTCGCAACTCGGCTGTTCATAGAAAACACACTCGCACTCGCACTCGCATTCACTGTTGTCAGGGAAGGTCCCTTCCAGTAAACACACAGCTTTTCACACAACAAAACACCCGCTACTCCTTTTCCCTGACCCTAAACCCCCCTCCCCCCCTTCCCCCCCGCCTTCCCCCCTCGCAGGTATCTGATTTGTGTGGACACGGACAGCAATTGCTTCGTGCTCGCCCTGACCCACATCCACCATGACGCCTTCCACATGTCTCAGCTGCTCACCATCACGCACCCGGACTTGAAACATGTGGACACCGCCTGGCCACCACCCGCCCAACCCCCCCTGTACCGGCCTCAGCAAAAAGCGCCTTCTCCGCCGCCTCCGCCTCCTCCTCCTGCTGCTACAGCTGCTGCTGCTCCTTGTCCTGAAATGAAGACGTTAGAATCGGAGCCGTCAGGTGTGGAAGCCCCGCATCCCCCTCCTTTTCCCCTTCCGCCTTCTTCTTCGTCTTCTTCCTCCGTGACTTCCGAACAGGGATTGGCAGCGGAGGCGGCAGGGGGACCCTCCACTACCGCCACACCTCTCTCTGCCGCCGCCTGCTCCCTCGGCATCTCTCCCTCCTCGCCCTCCCCTTCCCCTTCCCCCTCCCCTATCCCCTCCTCCGCCGCTGCCGCCGCCGCCGCCTCCCGCACCTACCGCTTCCCGCTGCTGCGAGTGGGGTGTGACCCGGGCTGCATCAGCGCGGTGCTGGTGGACGGTGTCCCGGTTCATAGGGCCCCTCAGACACCGCTGTTGAGGGGAGTCATGAGGGCGGTGTGAGCGAGTGGGAGTGCGAGCGATGAGGGGGGGGGAAGCGAGGGAGCTGGGGAAGAGCTACACTAGGGCGAACGGGTGTTCAGAGCTCGGCAGGTGCATGCTCGGGGGGTAAGGAGGAGGAGGAGGAGGAGGAGGACACATACCAACGCTAGGACCAGACCCATGTCTGGTGGTGGTGGTGGTTGTTCGGGATTCGGAAAGGGAAATAGCCTTGACGCTGGCTGCCGGGGTGGCTGCAGATTGCTGACTGATTGACGAACATCAGACTGGAAGGCCCTATCTGTCTGTCTGTCCGTCTGCCTGCCTGTATGAGTGTATGTATTTCCAAGTTCATTCGCGTATATATGTATATGTGTATGTAGGTTTGTACGTACGTATGTCAGCTTTGTGCATGTGCGTTTTTCTGTCTGTCTGTCTCTGCTTTTTGCATGTGGCTGGGTACCGTGTACATGCGGTGAGAAGTGTGGCTGTGTCTGGTCAGCTGGGCAGAGGGCACTAGGTTGGGGGTGTTTCTGGTTGGGGTGTTTCTGGGTTGGCTTTGCCGGGGTTTGATTGCCCTGGAAGGGTGAGAGTGCGTGGTGGAGGTCGTGTACACCCCTAGGCATGGGGGAGGAAAAGAGGTCGCCGGGCCTTGCAGCCTCCTACCTTGCCTAGCCACCCCCCGCTCCTTCAGGTGTGCTACCGGGGGCACAGGGGCAAGGTCCCCTGGACGGTGTTGGGGGCAACAGCTGACTGATAGCACTGCAGTGTTGATGTATGTGAACAGTTTGGGGCTGTGCATATGTGAGCGCATGTGTGTGTATGCTGATGTCCATGTTAGCTGTTGCTGTAGCTGTTGGCGGAGCTGCAGGACATATAGGCCCGCAGCACCAGAGCAACGGTAACAGCAACGGTACCACTGTTACTACAGTTACGTTGTACTTCCATTTGTATGTCGAGGATAAGGGGGGACGTTCAGGACATACATACATACATACGTTGATGCGCCGTTGATCCGCTAGATTTGGTTGGATGCTGGTGGTGAGTTGCCGAACCCAACGAATACATTCTGAAGTCGGATGGGTTGACGGATTACGGTGCCCCCCTCTAGCAGGGGAGAGCAGGGACTGCCCGGGAAAGGGGCCGCTGGCGAAGTTAACCACCCTGTAACAACATACATACATACATGAGATGACGGAAAAGTGGCCATAAACTGCCTTTATCGGTTAAGGTACCGGTGGGCACCAAACACATCTTGGAGCGACAGAAATATAACGGTGCTGCTGGCACCTGCACAACCGAGGGCATCGATTTGCAATTATCTCTGCTGTCCACCACCAACTCGCGTTTTCACATACTATATACCAAAAACGTTTCTCAAGTGCTCCGCAACAAATAGGGAGTACCAGATCTTATAACAGCCAACTACCCATAAACGACCGTATCCCAACCGAATCCAGAGCCAACGACCACAACCACGACCAGCTCTCGCCTACTAGCCGTACAGCCGCGCACATTAACGGAAAACCCCCCAGTCGGGAATTACACGAGGGGACTGCAGCGTACGAATGTGTACGACATCTCAAACACACACACAAGGCACTTTGTGCGCCTGCACTGTATGCGGAGCCTCAAGCCATAACTGTGCGCGTCGCCCTTCCATTTCCACTGGTGGGGGGGAGGCTGAAAGCGCTATAACGGACATAGCAACACCTAGGACGCCTTTTACTTCTTTTTCCACCGCTAGCGAAATACACCCCCGCCCCCGCCCCTCCCCCAACACACACGTTTTCACATACATACACACACACGTACTTGCACCCGCAGCTGATTTTGTTGCCTAAATGCACACACACGGCACACAGGCACACGGCATTCAGCACACTCGGGTGGCAGTAGAGGTAGAGGTAGACCTGAAATGGCGTCAGGGGCTGTTCCAACCGTCCCTGTGCTGGCGCCCCGGGGCGGGGGCCCCCGCCTCGCCACCCCTCGGCTGGTCATCCCCCACCGGCCTTGGCGCACTACCGAACATCTGCTGGTAGGTGTCCTGGGAGGGCGGTGATGCGTGCTTGTGCGCATGTACGTATGTATGTATGTATGTATATGTTGAAGTGGTGGCGGGCGGTGTCTTTATGTCCGGTTGTGGTGGGGGTTGTGCTGTTCTATTGCCGACGTGGAGCGAGACGTTGGTTGAGTTTGTGTGCGCGTGGAAGAAAAGGGTTTTGTAAGGGGGTAGCTGCGGTTGGAGTTGGGCGAGAGGGAGGAGGGATGGTGGGTGCAAAGGTGCTGCCGGCGGGGTTCAGTCCTGATGGAGCTATGTGGCGGGTGGAGAGCAGTTTCCGGGACATGCCGAGTATCGAGTGTCACGTGTAGATGTGTATGCGGTTTTTTGCACCAACCTTGCAACCACATTCCCCCTCTTCCCGCCTCCCGGCGCCCACAGGGGCCCCCCCTGTCGCACTCACGTTCCTTGCACGTGGAAGTGGTACATACATACATGCATACATACATATTTACACAGGTAAACCACAGCACACGCGACAACCGAGCTAGCTAGCCGCCATCACGACCGCCTCACGGGGGGCCCCGCCACACCCCCAGCTCACCTTGAGCCGACCGACGCCCGACTTGATCGTCTCGGTGATGCCATTGCCTGTCAGCTCATTCGACCAACCAGACTTTTCCCCGCCGCCGCCGCCGCCGCCGCCGCCGCCACCGCCGCCGCTGACCTGCTCATCACCCGCGTGTTCCGCCGTTCCCGTCGTCTCAGAATCCGTACTGCCGCGGGCCGTGGTGGCGGTGGCGGCGGCGGCGCCGCCGCCGCCACCCCCTTCCGACTCCGGAGGGGCGCCGCGGCTACCCGCCTGACGTGGCGTACGGAGGCCGTACTCAGCACCCATCTCCCCGTGGGGGCCGAAGACGCCTGCGTGTCGGAGAAAGAAGTCAAAACACAACATCGACACATATCTACATACACGAACACACTCTCTGTTGTCGTTATGCATACACGTGCACAGGCATACCGGGTGACAGGCACGTGCAGGCTGCTAAGGATGCTGCATGCACGCGGGGTGTGATACGCAGCCCCACCTCCCTAGTGGGTGTGCGCGCACGCGCATGTAGCCTACACTCACATCATCGCGTAGCGAATTTCCCCCGGGGTACATATCACCTGGTTCGCCACCGTAGCGGATCATCCCGCCCTTCGCCCCACGCCGTATACCTCGCGACTGTAGCTACCAAGTTTCCATCATCTTCCTTTCCATCCCCATCCGCGCCCGCACCCATACCCGCACCCACACCCACACCCATACCCACACCCATACCCACAGCCGCACCTCGCCTGCTACGCTATCCCCTTTCCCCTCTCACCTCCCAATGGGCCCCCGCTAGCTCCGCCCCGCCCCACATCCCATACACACACACACACGCTCGCTCTCTCACCTGCCACCCCCCCTAGCTCCGGTTTATCGTCCGCGGGTCCCCCCCGGGTGTTCTCCGTACCGCTGCCCGCCACCTCACGATCGTGCCGTGCTACCTTTTCATGCAGAAGCACATACAAACAGACAAACATACGCAAATAACTAAAACAAAAACGCACGTTAGACAGCTTGCCAATGTGGCCTCATGGGAGGTGACGGGACTTTGGGAAATAGCTACACGACAAAACACGTCAACAGCCGAGGCAACGGCACGCAACGAGACAGACAGACAGATAGATAAACTGACTGACGGACAGACAGACAGACCGAACACACCAGGTGCAATGACATGGCAATGACAGGGCCGCTGGACTGCAGGCCTCGGTGTGCCAACCGCCAAACTACCAACCAACTACTACTAGCTAACGCATAAGCATCCCAGGGAAAAAAAGCGCTGTATGACCCACGGGTCCGTCCGTTGCACTCCCCTGCCCTCTCCCGTCCCCACCTGCTCCGCGGCCGCCTCGCTGGTAGCCCCCACCCCCACGTCCTGGACATCCGGACTAGGCTGCTGCTGGTACACGAACTTGACTGCGGTGTTGCTGTGGGGAGCCGCCGCGGCCTCGGGACTGGAAGTGATTACGGAGAGCAGCGAGCAGATAAGGGTTTCAGAGGGTGGAGGGATACCCTACTCGGTGTAAACAGCTGCATGCACGGGAAGGCTCGACTGGGTGAGCGGGTGGGTGGGTGAGTGGGAAAGGGTGGCACCTGGGGAGGGGTGATGGGGAGGGTGATGGGGAGGGGTGATGGGGAGGGGTGATGGGGAGGGGTGATGGGGAGGGGTGATGGGGAGGGGTGATGGGGGGGAGAGGGGAGGAAAGGGACAGCCGGCGCGGGCTTACACCTCACCCTGCACTCCCCCCCATCCCATCCTTCACCCGCAACCCCTTATGTTGCACACCCACCCTGCCAAAATGGCCTCCGCCGATTTTCCGGAGCCATGACGGATGGTCATCCGCGCCGCCTCCTCCGCCGCCCGCTCATCCGGCATCGTCTCCCGCCCGCTGCGTCGCGTGGCGGGATCGGGCGGCGCGTCTGGAGATCTCGCGGGCCACACGGCCTCCCGTCCGGTGGCGGCGGTGGATTCGAAGTCGCTTCCCTCCGCCAGCTGCTCCTGGTGTACACTGCGAGTACGAGGGAGGTCGCCGACGGTGGGGTGGTGGTGGCGGCCGTCGCTGTCGTCACTGGCAGTGGCAGTAGTGGTGGTGGCCGGCCGCCGCCAGGCCTCGGTCGGGGACAAGCCCAGCGTGGTGGCTGTTGGGCCCGGGGCTCGAATGAGGGGAAGTAGCGCCTGCAGGAGGCGGGAAGGGTGAATCGGACTCGTAAACATGTAACAAACACAGAAGCACATATACACGCGGATTACGAGCGCAAAGGAAACGGGAAACGCTGTGGACAAATGGATACGTAAAACCGGGTCTGGATGTGTGTGTATTTGTGTGTGCGAGTGTATGTGGGGACCGATCGAAATACCGACCTAGTGACCCATGGGTCACTGGTTTTGATACGCGGCAATTTTCGTCGGAAAAACGACCTCTCTCCGCAATTCTCAATGGTTTACATTGCACGGTCAAAGTCAAGCTCCCTGCCATGTGAGGACTCGTGGCCGTGAGGGCGGACCGAGAGCCAGGGAGCTGCTGCGCAAGGCTTTTGCTGAGGAGCTACGACGGAACGATTCCTGTTTCGGAATATGGACGGCGCACCTGCGAATCACGGGCGCCTGCCGCAGCTTTAAAGGCTTGACCGAGCGCGCGCCTCATCTTTCCTGGTCGCTCGCTTCCTTAGGCTGTTTCCCGGCAGTAAAAGGCCAACGGAAAGGACTATCAAAAGGGAAACTGTGCCCGCGCCTTTCTCGTGGCGCGGTTGTATGCTGGAAAAAAAGCCTGAGGCGAGCTGGTATGGACAAACCCTTGCTCACTTGCACAGCGCTTACAAAGGATAGTCAAGTCCAAAGGATAAGTCTTCGCTTTTGACAGTGAGACATAAATGAGTTTATACAGGACAGATGACAAGGAGACCTATAGGTCAAAGAAATGTTGTAAGCCTGTGTGTATGCGAAATGAGTCACCATCACGCCTGTACCCGCTTCGTACAGCAAATCCGAAAAGGTAGCCTCGCTGCGAGGAATAGCAGGAAAACGAGCTCAACGCTTTCGCTGCATTTGTTTCGGAATCCCAGATTCGCGAGAAAAAAATGTATAATCGTAAATGAAAATTCTTTGCAGGTCACCCGCATGAATCACCGCGCACACCAAACGCAGTGATAAACGGGGCGACCACCACACGAAAACAAACAGTCAACAAACAGCAAGACGACACTAAACGACACATACAACGCCGCCCCTCTCCTGTTCCCCGTGGGCTTGCCACGATTGGCTTTTAGCTCCAATTTCCACCGGACGAGCGAAACATCTTCGACCGGAACACGCGTCGTCAAAAAGCACTGCACAAAGCATCATTGTAATTCACCATCGTCACATAGTCATAGCATCCTGCGCTAGAGCCGTGACGAGGATTTCCCTTCCATCTGCTAGAAACTGATCTCTTCTGAAGTATCTTATCGTCCAGTCATTGCTACCTTTAACTCCCTCCAAAGGCCACCGTAGAATCCCCCAGTCACGCCGCAATCCCTGTCTATCCTGTACTCTGCCACGAAAGAAAAGAGAAAAACTGATACTACACTAGACATCCAATTCGCGGTCGCGCCCTCAATGCACAGCATTATGTACATAGTACCTTACTCCCTTACAAACCGTCGCTGCCCCGGTAGCACCTCCCCCTTCTCCAAAAACCCTACCCTAAGCACAACGCCGCTTTGCCCCGCGCCCTGAGCAACTCCCTTTTCCCCCCTTCCCTACCGCCCTAGGTACCCGCGTCTGCTGTAGACGTATGCTCTGCACACGGCCCTAAAAATTCTTGGCCAATTGACCCAATCGGCCTCTCCTTAACAACGAATTGTTGCCCCTCGTCCTACAGGCCACGTCTCCGCTTCTCCTGCCAAATAGGCGCTCAACTGTCAACGTGGCTCAAGCAGCCCCACCCTACGCCTTGTTTCAGCTGTTGCTGCTGCTGCACTGTGAAATGGGTCCCACTCACAACTGTCCTCCTCCCCACCGCCGTGCTGCTCCAGACAGAAGCCATTTCAGCTGTCATTCAAGCGCGCGCACGTCGAGCGAAGCTTTGAGTAGACCTTGGAGGCGGGAGAGCCGAGGATGAGCGAGCACAACGCATCACGCGCCACCCGAATGTTCTGAAAGGAACCTAGGATATGAATTCGCGTGTCCGCCAGCACGATGCGAGTGCGCGTCGCGTTCTCAATCGTAAATTTGGTCTTGCCGTCCTGCGGCGCATGGGGTTGAAAAAAGTGTAAAAGGGCAGCCAAGCAATATGGAGTACGAGAGTCAAAGGAATGGCGGTAAATCAGCCGGCGGAGTAGGATGGCCCTTGGCTGGCAAAGAGGCTGGCAGGAGCTCAGGGACACAGGTCACCGGACTCTGCTTCCGTCCAGCGGGGCTAGCCAACCAACATTCCTAGCGCACAGGCCTTAAAACCCTAAAACCCGAAGTACAGGGGGGTCGCTGCTGCTCGGAACCAAACCAAGATGCGGCTAGCCTCTTATTACAGCTTCCAGTCCACAGGCCGCACGCTGCGGAGTTTTAGGCAGGCTGTTCCGTCTCTTCCCCTTAGTTTATCCGGCTGACCAGCCTTCTCATGCGTGCTTACCTTGCCGGCCAGCCGACCAATGCAACGCGATAGGTGCTCGCCGCGCAGAGTCTGAGGGAGGGAGTACAGCATGAATGATGCGACGTTTCCTGATACGATGTTGGAAAGGATTGTTTGCGTTACTGAAGGGTTGAGCGCAGCTAGCCCAATATTGAAGTGAACCCGTTTGCTGCCCGGGGCTTGACCAAGCGGTACAACAACGCCATGACACACTTCCCTGCTCCATGAACAAGTACGTACATGCAACTGCGGGGTAAGGATGCGAATTTCCCTCCCCGAAATTGCGCAACACAGACTTCTCCACAGCGCGGATTCTTTTCTGGTCGAATGGCACGGGTAGCACCGGTGGCAGGTAATCGCAGATTGCCCTCCCTTAGAAGCTGGATGAGTGAGTAACATAGTAGCCGGCTCCCTAGCTTATTTCCGCTTCCTTCTGTACCGAATTGAACTAGGCAGATGAAGAGGTACGAATTACATTTAGCAGGTGAGGGGAGAGCAGTGCTACTTGCGAGCTGGCTGCCACTGTGCCAAGTAGTAACTGAACGAAGTATCCCGCAGGATTGCTGGAGCTTGATCAATTGGTTCTGTCCGAGCCAGGTGCGGGTCGCTCCTTGTGCCCTGGACCGATAAACCCCTTGGAGTGCAATGTCGACCCTGTGCATGAGATACTGAAGGCGTTCTTGGGGTGCTTGCCATCTCCAAACTCAAACCCCGTCCCTTTCCTTACGTCCCCGGCCTTGCCCCTGCCCATACCTTAACGTCCTTTATCTCGAAGCACTCAACATACAGGTCGTCGAGCCTCAGTAGTGCGATGGCGTCACGAATCTCAAAGCCTGTTGAATTTCGGGTGAGGGTTGTGTACACAAATAAGCGCTAGGTGCATATACACGGGCGAAGCTGGCCACCCACTCTCTATAGTTGTCCACTCTGAATACTTACCAAGCAGGTATGCATGGACGAAGTCCGCCGCTTTTTGAAGTGCTTCCGGCGATGTTGTTTTTTGAGTAGTCTTAATCTCGACCTGTGCAGCTTACTGAATCAATCCGGATACCTACTGAGACCCACCCCAGAATCACAACTAAACTACCTTCTTCGACTTCAGGTTCATACGCATGTCCAGTTTCAGGTTTTCCGTAATAGGCTTGTAAAGTTCCATCCAAGCTGTTTTAAGGGGAGTCATGCGGTGCTGGGGCACCGGAACACGCCGAAACTCGACCTTTGCGTCGCCGCCAGGCTGCTTGTCGCCGGATGAGAGCGGCGCGAACTTGGGCTTCTCCGGCAAGTGGGCTGCGGCCGCGTCATCAGCCTCCATAGCAACCGGACCGACCTCCTTTAGAGGTTCCTTTCGTGCATTCCGGTCTACTTTAGGCATTTTGTGAAGGCTGAAAGGAGGGTGTCAAGACTGTGTAGCACAGTGAAGCCTTTGTCAAGGAGTATCAACGCTCTATCCTTCGCAAAAAGTCATAGTGGTTTTTGAAGTATGTTGTGTGAGAACTCGGGAACTCAGTGAAACGTACGGTCAGGCTGGGAGGAGGCCCACGAGGACTTGTATGTGAGTACTGACCGCACTGTTTGCACGTCGCTTGTAGTTAGAATCAACACTTGTAGATAAACCGAATTCGCGAAGAAACCACAGCTGCTAGGACGCGTACACGTCCATCCCTGCCTTAAAATCCCCTGAAGGGTCTACAAACCGGGGCGTTTGTATGGAAGCTTACTAGCAAGCGCACGCTAGGAACGCGTGCTTTGAACGAGGATATTAGGCGGCTAGCCTGCGTGGAAGAGCAGAACGCGCCGACAAGGGGAGACTTGAAGGGCTGACGTCCAGAACCGACCTCAAACAATATGGCGCTCGATATCCGCATCGCTGGGCGGTAAGTATTGCGTACGTTTCAGTGAATCCCAGTCGAGGTCTGGCAGGTTTACCTCTTGAGTCTCATAGGCCTAGGCGTAAGGATGCGTCAAACTGCTCAGCAGTTGTTCATTTGCGCATTTGCCTGGCCTGCACCTGTCAGCATCATGTACTTATTGGATCAAATTTGGTCGCTCCTTAGAGTTACAACTCCGAGCCGAACAGAATGTGACTCAATTTTACCCCTGCATACAGGTACCGGCTTGGTCGCAAGATTGGCGGTGGCAGCTTTGGTGACATCTACTTAGGCACGAACATTCAGACCGGGGAGGAGGTCGCCATCAAGTTGGTGCGTTAGTCGTGCTTGAAGCGGCGCGCAGGAGCAGCACCTTGACGCCTGTTTGGCCGCTCGCCCGCAGGAGTCAGTCAAGACTCGGCACGCGCAGCTGCTCTACGAGTCAAAGCTTTACAAGATTTTGCAGGGTGGAGGTAGGTAGCCTTGCTGAGGCCACTGCTGCTTCGAACGGGCCGCGGCCTGAAACTTTGTCCCACCTGGCGCAGTTGGTATCCCTAACGTGAGGTGGTATGGCGTTGAGGGCGATTACAACGTCATGGTTATCGATCTACTTGGTCCCAGTCTAGAGGACCTGTTTAACTTCTGCAACAGGAAGTTCAGCTTGAAGACGGTGCTCATGCTTGCGGACCAACTGGTAAGGCGCCCACTGCAGGGTCGGCCGGTTTTGTTTTGTCGCTAATGATTGTGTTTTGTTTTGTTTTTGCAGTTATCTCGAGTGGAGTTTGTACACTCTCGCAGCTTCATTCACCGTGACATTAAGCCCGACAACTTCCTCATGGGCTTGGGCAAGAAGGCCAACCAGGTGCACATTATCGACTTCGGTCTGGCAAAGAAGTACCGAGATCCGAAAACACACATTCACATTCCATACCGTGAGAACAAGAACCTCACCGGTACAGCGCGCTACGCTAGCATCAACACACACTTGGGCATTGAGCAGAGCCGACGCGATGACATGGAGTCGCTTGGTTACGTCATGATGTATTTCCTTCGGGGCTCGCTTCCGTGGCAAGGCCTCAAAGCCACAACCAAGCGCCAGAAATACGAGAAGATCAGCGAAAAGAAGATGTCCACGCCCATCGAGGTAGGGTTTTGAGTTATGCCAGGTTTTCTACTGCAGAGTTTGGGTGGCTGAGCCGAGTTTTGGGTGTTCTGTAGGTTCTGTGCAAGGGCTACCCGATGGAGTTCGTCACATACTTCCAGTACTGCCGCTCCCTTCGCTTCGACGACAAGCCGGATTATTCCTACCTGCGGAAGATGTTCAGGGACCTCTTTGCGCGCGAAGGTGGGTTCATCGTTGCTACTATCTTAGAAGGAAGGGGTTGTCATGTTAGCAATTCATTGTGTTTTGCGTGATGCGCTTCTCGCAGGGTACCAGTGGGACTACGTGTTTGACTGGACTATCCTGAAGCACCAGCAAAGCGGGACGGTGCCGCGGCCGCAAGCACCACCCAGGCCGGAGCCCGTGGGAGGCGAGGGCGAGGAGCAGCAGGACGGCAACTACGGCGGAAGGTAGGTACAGTTGGGTCCGGCCACTAATTTTCAGTATCTCAGTTCCTGTCGCCGTGCCGCCTGTCTAGGACATGCTTATGTTTTCGGGTTACAGTTGTTGGCAAGTTTACACCCGGCTATGGACGGCATTATCGGACATTGATATCCACCTAAATCAATTTTGCTCTCCCCAACATCAGGTTTGACTTTTAAGCTGGAATGTGGCGCAGCATGCAGCTGGAGCGGGACGCATGCCTATTCTGTGGGTGACTGGGAGGATAGAGAGCTGCGTGTCGTCCGCGGTGAGCGCACCGTAGCCCATCGCCATGGCGAGTTATGGCTGGTTCTGGGACCCCGCTAAGCATTTGTTACACCTGGGTACGGAGGTCTGGTGTTGTAGGGATGGGGCGCGAAAGAACTGGGGCGTTACTACTTATGTGGCGTACGGCGGCTTCTTCCATTTGTTGAGCGGCAACCCCTTTTATCCTGGAATGACTCGGCAGCCAGTGCGGCAGGGTCGGGTGCCCGCTTTCGAAACAGTTCCATGTGGCCGCTGTGCGACTATAGAAAATAGGTGTCATGTAGTTGCGCCTTCACCATTAGAAAGATTCGGAATGATGCACGCTGGATAGTTTGGCCCACTGGTGGCTAAGTCAGCGTTTGCGGGAGGGGGCTGTGGCTGTTACAACGGCCGGCTGTAATACAAACCTTGGATACTAGTTTGCAGCAGTATGTCTGATGTACCATGCATGACATCTGGATAAACATGATCGCCCTGGAGCTGTGGCTCTTGAGCACGGGTACGGGACCGCCGGTGTGGCCCACTATAGTCGGATGGCATTGGCATTAAGTTGCTTTTGGTACATGTAATGGTACACCCATTGCCTGAAGGCTTCTTGTGCTGTTGATGCTCGGAAAGGCTAAGTCGGGGTGTCGTTTTATCACTGTCTGGGACTGAATCTGCAGCAGCTGGGTGTAGCAAATGACTTAAATCTGTGCAGCTTTTGACCGGGCGCTTTGAGCTAACGGGAGTGAGAAGTCGCAATTGTTAGAAGGGAGTGCGTCGGTGTTCCGAACGCTGTTTGAATTACCATAGGGTCACCACCACCAACAAAAGTCTTGAAGTGTCGGGTCGCATTCACGGGCATGTGAGCGTGTAATTCCGATGGAATCCTGACTTTGTGTTCGTGTCACGGATGAGGAACTAGTGGGATGCCATATAGCACTTTTGGGTTGGGGCCTTGGTAACTTGGCAATTGCTGTGCTGTTCGACGATATCGAGGAGTGGGATGGATGCGGGTCCTTGCAGGTCAAGAGTTGAGAAGCACGTTTGCATTGCCACTCGGCCTTGTGCCTTTGAATGCACAGAGATCAGATCAGCTGGAAGAGCCTCCTGAGGTTTACACCGATTGCAATCCTACAGGTGATGGTGCGCCGGGGGGTGCGCGTCGTTCAGCACCTCGTTCGTATGTCCTGTATCACCAGAGAATGCAACATGAGCAGAGCTGTTGCGTGACAGGCCGGAGGCCAGTTTTCATCAAACTTGAAACATTACACGTAGTAAATGGGTGAATTTGGATGGGAAGAAGTGTTCCCCTTCTTCCCCTAAAGGGGACCGGTTAATAGGTTCTAAACCCCCTGCGTCCTAATCAGTCCCCGAAAGCGGGGCCCTGAGAACTAGTGGCACGGAAGTCCAACTTTACCGCTGTCCATCAGCCACGGTATTACAACCATGGCAGTGTACGAGAGTATTGCAGAGACGCACATATCCCTTCAGATTGCTACTGGGGCATATTACAGTACCGACTACGGGAGATCTCCCAGACCAGTCGTATCCAGACACATGAACGGCTCGGCATGCCCCGGGAGTGGGCGGGTATACATCTGCGAAAACTAACGAATTACTATGTTTCCCTGCCTCAAGCCAGTTTCGCAGCTGCTATATAGCCTAAGCCTTCCTTTAAATCGTCACAGTCACGTATCAAACGTGTTAAGCTCTCATCGTTACAGCACGCCCAGCCTGGAAGTTGCTAACAGACAACGCAATCAAGAAGAAAGCTGGGAAAATGGCTACGACGCGTGAAGGACCAATTCAAATCGAAAAATGATCCTTGTGCATTACGCGCAATAGGTGACATCGAAATAGTCCATACTCCACACACACGCTGTCTCCCGAGCGGCCACAATATTCGGTAATGATACAGTGAAAGTTCTGAAGCGGCACACGTACGTTGTAGGAAAGTGTACGGCGCAACATCATGCCCCTGCACGAGCACCCATGACGCATACACCGCACGACGCCAGGCAGGCACGAAGGCACGACGGCCTCTCGCCACAACACACCCGTGCGAGGGCTAGCACTGCCCGGGTAGGGGAAACCCAAACTCCTAACGGCGGAGCGACGACCCGTCCCCCGCCCAAAGCATTAATGACATCAACCCCCCTTGCGTGCAACACCACTAGTACGATTGTGCCACCACAGACCAATTGAACCACATCTCACCCCTGCCGCCAACTCCCCTTAGATCCCTTCCTTAACGCCACCTCTCCGTACGTGCCCCAAGGATTGGGCCAGCATGTGGGACCAGCCCTGCTCGGACGGACTCATTTGGGGAAGATGATGGTACTGGTACGAACGTGACGTATGATGATCATTAAACTTCTTGGGATGAATGATGGTCAAGATGACGATTGTGATAGAAGGCTATTATGATACACAAAATTGCCTGCCAGGCATCCCACCGCAACACGGTCCCAAGTGCAGTCATGGAACGTACACACCTGCCTGCCTCCGCGCCTGTACGGCGGCGAGTAAAGTCTGCTCTTCAGTATAACACACCATGCAGCAAGCATATGCACTCCACTGCTCATCGAGCATGTTGTAACGTCTTGTCAAGTACCTCCCGCAAAGTAACCTTGCTAAAACGGAAAGGCAACGTTACCACGCCATGCCATGCAAGGACATCCATTGGCCGAACAACCCCCCCTCCTTCTCCTCCTCCTCCCCCTCCTCCTCCTCCTCCCCCTCCTCCTCCTCCTTCCCCCCTCCTCTCCCTCCTCCTCCTCTCCCTCTCCGCCTATCACCTGTCCACCCACAAGCAGCAAAAGAAGCAGCACGGTCGTGGACCCCTCCAACACCCTGGTTGAATGACGGAACGAGGAGAGGCCCGCCGGCCGGGAAGGGCAGAGACAGGCACGGGCCGCAGGACCAGACAGACTGCAGGAGCTCCCTACTAGCCAGCCAACACCACAACATCGCAACGTGTATGACAAATAATCCTGTCGGCCGCCGCAACCCCCTCCGCACGGCGGCCGACCAGCGAGTCAGCCTGCTGAAACTTGTTGTACGGTCGCCTGCCACTTGAAGTATATGTTTCAATGAATGCGGTCTCGAGGACCGCCCACCTGCAACAACCACGCATTGCGCCCTGAAAGCAGCGCGGACCTTATATGTTTTGATTTTTAAGAGATATATCAACAAGGTTTGATAACGGGGGGGGACAACTGAGACCCCCTCGCGCAGGCCACGTAGTCGATGCCGGGAACACGAAGGACCCGGCAGCAACTAGCAACAAAGACGGCACCGTTAAGAAGGTTAAGTGAAGAAAAGCCGCCAAAAGCCCAAACGTATGCAACAGACCGACATAGATAGACTTCCAGCCGTACGCTATGTAACTGAGAACTTCTTCCTCACCATATTATTGTACGACCACGATAGTGCCGTACTGCACCTTGCTATTTGGACGCCCTAGTAGCGCAGCAGTGTGGTATTCAATCATCATCAATTCGTCATTTCCACATCATGTCGGTCGTTGAAACAAAAACGTCATTGTAACAACGCGTCCGGGTGCATCCCTGTGCTCATCAATCCAACCCCCAACACCCAGCGATCGATTGCCCGGCCCCGTGCCGTACACCGGGCGCTGCGCCCTTCCCCATGCATTTGCAATCGCATTCTCCACTCTTCTCTGCGCGGTTACTGACTCCACCTTGCCCTTGCTACGGCATGTGGATGGCACGACACAGACGAGCGCCAAACCCGACACACGTACTCGAAACGCCACAGCAAGCTGATCTGCCTCGCTGTCACCTGCCTCACACAACCCCACGCCGCCAGGCACCTCCGCCGCCGCCGCCGTACCCGTCATCACCCTGACCTAGATCCCGGTACCGCCACCGCCACCGCCAGCGTTGCCGTCGCCTTCAGCACCGTCGCATTAGCTCCCGCCGTCGTGAGGCGGCAGCTCCTCCACTTCGTTAGCTTGCAGATGTGGCGGCGGCGGCGGCGACGGCGGTGACGGCGAGGGGCCGTCGCGCCAGTAGCCCACGCTGGCTTCCCACCTTCCCACCAGGCTGGTGCTATGCTCGCTGGGGGTCCCCTCCCCCCCCACTTCCCCCGCCCCGTCAGCCTCCTCACCCCACCCCGCTACCCCCGACTCTACAGCCCCTCTCGCAGTCGGCCCTACGTCGGCCGCTTGCCAAAGCCCAGCCTCTTCGGGAGCTAACAGCCCCAACCCTGACTGCGCCGACAGGTGGACATCTGCGGCGCGGCTGGCACCGTTGTTCTCCTCCTCCTCTTCCATCACATCAAGCTCCTGACCGTCCTCCGCCTCCTCCACCACCTTTCCTGTCCACAAATAGCTCCCAGACTGACGCTCCGGACCCCCCCCCACCTCACCCTCCGCACCCTCACCCTCACCCTCGGGCAGATTCGTGCTTCTACCCCCTTCCTCAGCCGCCCCTACCAACGCCGTCTCCGTCACCTCCCCTTCCGGTCGCAGTGACGGGGCTGACTCTGGTCCGCCGTTTATCCAGCTTTCTTCCGCTGCTGTAGCCGCCGCCGTAGCAGCCTTAGCCCGGCCCATACGCAGCGAGGCTTCCTCACCCACGGGATCCTCCGCCGCCGCCCCCCACTCCGCGCCAGCCGTAGCCGCCGCCGCGCCCTCCAATCGCTCACCTAACACAGGCTCCAGCACCCAACCACCGCCGCCGCCGTCGGCGCGGTCCTCCTGAACCCCGGCCGCCGCCTCCCAACCCACCTCATCTACCTCAGCCGCCGCCTCCACACTACCACCTGACAACGCCGCCGCCAACGCCGCCGCCGCCCCCGCCGCTAGCCCTAACTCCGAACCCAACCCCGCCGACACCACTTCACCGGTTCCGACCAGCCCCAACCTCCCGCCCACCTTCGCCAAGTCCCCAACTCCCCTGAACTCCGTATCCGCCGCTGCCAAGATGCCGGCAGCTGCATCACCCATCGCTTCCTCCCACACTGCTCCAATTTCCTCCGCCGTCTCCGCCTCCGCCTCCGCCGCCCTGCGCTCAAGTTCCTTCCGCTCCGCCTCCGCGTCCTCCGCCGCCTCCATCTCCATCGCCACGTCCACCTCCAACTCCACTTTCGCTCTGAGGTCCATCTCAATGCCCGGACCGCTGACCGCTCCCGCCACCTTACCCCAGCCATCCACCTCCTCTCCCTCCCCTACCCCCTCCGCCTCCTGCTCGACCTCGTCACCTAGCACAGCCTCACCCTCCAACCCCTCCTCCTCTCCATGCTGCATCTCCGCCTCCGCCTTCGCCGCGAAGGCGTTCTCACCCTCCTCCGCCTCCACCTCCTCCTCCTCCTGCCCCGCCTCCACAGCCGTTTCCCCCTGCTGTCGCGCCTCCACACGCGCCTGGTGCTCCTCCTGTCGCCGCAGTAGCACCCCCATCAGGCTGCGGCCCTCATCCGCCAGCGCCTGGGGGCACGCCGCCGCCACCTGCTCAAGCAGCCACAGCCTGTAAGCATCCGCCTGGGCAGCGCTCTGCTCCCGCCACGCCGCCAGGTAGACCCGCAGCCGCCGCCGCGCCGCACGCGCCAGGTTTCGGCGCTGCTGGCGGCGGAGCCACACCCTGTGCAACCAGCCGGTGAAGGCGGCCATGAGGAGGTCGAGTTGGGACTTGCAGCGCATGGCCTCGGCGGCGGCGCGCGCGGTGTGCAGGCGATGTATCTGGCCCTGTTGTGGGTTGTGTTTTAGAGGGGGAAGGAGGACATGGGAAGACAAAGCGGGGGGAGGAGCAAGGGTGGTGGGGAAAGGATGGGGGATTGACTGCGCAGAGGAATGCCAAGGGGAAGGAGACCCGTGTGTAGGTGTAGGTAGAGGTAGAGGTGTAGGGACAAGAGAGGGCCGCGCAGAGGACGCGAGTGAAAGGGAGCGGAAGGTTGTTATTGTGGCTTAGTGGTGGGTGAAGGGGTGAAGAACAAAACACAGCATGAAATGTAGTGTTGTTCTAGCAAATTGGCGGAGAGGAGGAAGCTGGGAATGGAGCTCAGATGGTGGTGGGGCAGGCAGGCAGGGCAGGAGGGAGGTAAGGAACCAGGGGGAGGAGGTAGGGTACCAGGAAGGGAGGTGTTGGGAAATCCAAGTCGTACGGCACTCACCAGCCAACACCGGAACACGGCGGACATCATTCGCCGTCGGCAGTAGCGCACGATGATGCGCCACGCAAGGCTGCCGATCTCGCCCTCCGCTAGGGCTTCGACAACTCGCGGTCGCGAGGAGTGTACGGCGCCGTACCGGTACGGCGTGCCGAACTGTTCCGTCGGGGATGGCGTGGGCAGAGAGCTGACCCCTATGAGGCCCACCTCCGCCGCCGCCAGCAGCGCGCTACGGCCAGTGTTGCGGAAGACGTACGGACCTGCCGCCCCGCCGCCGCCGCTGACGCTGCCGATGGCGGCGGTCGGTGGTCGTACGACAGCAGCCGCGTCCGCGGCCCATGCCGAGTTTTGCAACTTGGCGACATGGAGCGGAGCAGACGGTCCGACGAGGATGGCAGCGGAGGCGCCGCAGCCGCCGCTGTCGCCAGCGCTGCTAGCAGCGCTGCTCCTGCGTAACACTGACGGCGTGGCCATGGCATGTGAGCCGCTTCCTCCCGACGACATCAGTGGCGGCAGCGGAACGCTCCCGGACTCGCTACCGCCGCCGCTGCCGTTGCTGATGTTGCTGCTGCTGCTGGCGCCAGCTCCCCCGTCAGTGGCCACTGCGCCTAATGCAGCGGCAGCGGCAGCGGCGGCCGTGGCCGCCTTCAGGATGTCCTCGCGATCGCGATTTGACGACTCGGAGGATAAGAGGCTCGGGCAATCGTCCAGTGACCCGCTGCGCTGCTGCTGCAGCTGCGGCTGCGGCTGTTGCTGATGCTGATGCTGATGCTGATGATGGAACTGAGGATCATGAGAATGCGGAGGATGAGATGATTGGGAGTGGGAACGCGGCAGGAGCGACTGTCGCCTTGCGCCGCCACCGCCGGCGCCACTGCTGCCGCTCCCCGTCACGGACAGCGATGCAGTCAGCGGCGCGGCGCCACCCCCGCTTCCGCTTCTGCTGTTGTGTGGGTGGTGCGGCGGGAAGGGACCCCCTCCCGAGGCGGCGCTGATGTACTGCAGCACGGCGGTTGATGAAGCGCGCGGGGCAGTGGACGGTGGCGGCGTCGAGCGGGTGCTACGGAAGCCGGCGCGAGGCGGCTGCGGCCTGCAGGTCGCAGTACAAAGGAAAAGTCCTGATTAGCAAATCCAAATATAACCCATGCAAGCGAGCGAAAACGCAGATTCATTAAAGGGGTGGTGGTGTGTCGTGACAATGAAGCACAGTGCAGCACAGGCACAGCGCCAGACGGGCATCGCTGGTCCAGACATGACATAGCAACATCCCTAGCTGCAGTCGCAGTCCTAGCAGCAGCAGTTTCAGCAGTAGCAGCAGTAGCAGCGGCAGTAGTGGTCAGTGCACGCGCGAACACAAGGGGAAACAGAGGATGGATTCGCAGTTGCACATACATACATACATACATACATACATACATACATACATACATACATACATACATACATACATACATACATACATACATACATACATACATACATACACACCGTTGTGATGTGTCTTTGAAACAGGGCCCCGACAGGCAGAAAGCAGAACCCCCCAATGCCCCTGCAGTCACCAACCCCGTCCCTCTTGCGAACCCTCCAGAAGACCGTTCGTTCATACTTTGTCGCGGGTGACCAGCCCGTCTGCAGCGGTTGGGGTTGCGCCTCCAAGATGTGGGTTATGATGGATAACGTGCCGGGTGGGTTGACGACGGCACCCCCCAACCCCGTTGCACCAACACCACCGCCGCCACTACCGTGTTGCTGCTGCTGTTGATTTTGTTGTTGTTGCTGTGCCGGTGTTGATGGCTTGTGCTGATGCTGGGGATGCAGGTGTTGAGGCTGCCTGGGTGAGTGCCCGTCGCCGTGCTCGCCAGGGCTCGCTTGCGGACTGCCGTGTGTCCCAGGCTTTCGCCAGACAGTGGGGGAATGCCCCGGAAGGGCACCGGGAAATTGTTTTGGGGAGCGGAGCCCGGAGGGCGGGTTTGCGCCGGTTGACTCGCCTGCGCTTTGGTGGCCCGTGCGGGCTTGTGGCGTGATTCCCGACTGACGGCGAAGGAAAAGGGGAGGCCGCGGGTAATGATGCCCGGGTAGGGCAGGCGGTAAAGAGGATGCCGAGAGGACCGAGGAATCATAAGGAGAAATTTTAAGGTAGCTGCGCAAAGATGCATGAAGGCTGTCAAGAGGTTTGTGCACGACCGCTGCATAGACAAGGTAAGGCATTCTTTTGGGAACGATGGCGGGCAACATGTCAACGGAGGCCCGAGCGAGGAAACGAAAGGGGTGAAATTATCGCGTAGTATCTTGTTAAATGTTTATGAAGTGCTGCTTTGGATGTGCGTTGGCTGCCTGCTGAGGCCAGTTGAGACGCTCGCTCACCCGTTCGCTCGACGACATCCCAGCATGCACCGGCGGCCTTTGGAGGATGCTGTCCGACATGCCTGCAGGTAATCTAAGTCGTGACATTGCGCGGGGCCTCTCCAGCGTCGTTGGGGAAAGCATGTAAAGTGCTATTTCCTCTCCCGTTCCAGCCGATACCATCTTTCATCTAAGAATTGAAAGTTTTAGTTACTTGAAAGTTTCAAGCGTTAGATTGTGGCGTACGTTGCGACCTGCAGGTGAGGCCGTCTACACATTAGCGTCGAAGAGAGCAAGGACACATGAAAGTAAGTTCGTACTCTTATGAATTGCTACAACGATTAGCACAAAATTCGTTTGTTGCAGCATCGTTGTTGCTAGGGAACCCGGCTACCTACTAGATAGTGGTACTGGCGTACGGTTCGGTACTATGAGGGATGCTCCTACCTCCGTCTGGGAATACGAATTATAAAAATACAAGGAGATCTCTGTGAAGAAACACGGGTGATGAATGGGCCTATACTGACGGGTGCTTGCCAAAGCACGCGGCTCCCGACAGGTGCCGGAAGTAACAAGGCCATATGTGGAAGTAGTGTGCCCACCAAAAGTAAGCCTCACTTGTTGGCGTAAATTGTTCTCTTTGGTATTCATTGTGAAATGACATTCGTACTCCCCCTTAACATTAAAGTAACCGTGAGACCTTGCGCCCCAGCATGAGGCATCCTACCGTGTATAGCATTTATGTGAAACTTATCCAATGATGATTTGCCATGCAATGAACCGATGTGGTAAAAAGGGAAAAATCTAGACGCGACCCCTATCCTCGTTGTCCGCCGACGGTTATTCGTTCGCACTACGTGCAGAGAGTTAACATCTTACGTATAGCTCCATGCCACCTACTCGTCTGGCTTGTTGCTTATAAGTCGACGTGCTCATACCGCACTGTATGCAAGGAACAGTACTCGCTAGTTTGGTGTAACTGCCAGTTGTGACGCCCTAGCCATACAAAATGAAAGCTGCACCGGTAAGATATGGCGGAAGAAAAATGTTATCACGGGGACAAAATGGGTCAGTCGTACGCAGGCATGCTATGCACACATGCTACAACTGCATCAGGAAACAAAGTTAGGACATGGGCGGGGCTGCCTCCGAGGTATTCAACATTGGTCCATAGCGGGCAATCAAGGCAAGAATCCATCAGTTGCTTGTAGCTTGAAAACCCCATACAGGCCAAAGGTGCAAATATCGTGCAATCAATGTTTTACTGTTGCCTAAAGTAATATATCACCGATGTCGATACAAGGCCTGAGACCAGACGACGTGGCCTGTATGCATGGGATGGGGGTTGTAACTGCTTTTTGCTAATTGCTAAGAGGATGAGGGGTTGACCCCAAAGAGCCGCAAGAACCCTAGCTCGCAGCCATATCGGCCATATAGCGTACGTTGAGGTTCAAGGCAATGCCCTTAATGTAATTTCCTTCTTAACACCCCAAATTGACAATTGTCTTCTGGATGACTCGGCCCGCTGACAAGGATGGAAATCCCTCAAACTTATGCCTCCAAGATCTTTAACTCCCTTCCTGTCAACTCGTCATGCGGAGGCCTAATTTGAATTACGCTGTAGTGTTTCTCGCGAGAAGTTATTAACGGCTGGAATGGTCACGCTGCGGTTAGGCAATGGTTCAGCTAAAGCTTCTTGGCTGCGCCTGCATAGGCTGAAATAGTAAACTTCACATGATATGAAACTGGTCTAAGAGTGATTTCCTAAGGATACTTGTGAAGGGTCTCGACAGGGATTGCAGTACAGGCGTATCCTGGATATAAAGCAATGTGGAGATGCGTTTCAAACATGTTGGAAAGAGGGTCGTGTTACACAGATACATAAAAAGGGTTTACGCATTTTTCTCTGGGCTGGTCAGCGTGCAGGGGTTATCGCTACAGACAAGATTCAGAGTCTCAAGGAATGGCTTGCGCAGTTGTTGGACAATGCCCGGTCGCCTCTCAAAAATTCAAGGGCGATTCCTCGGAGCTACTTGACAAGCTCGTCGAGGTCTGCAACAATGTCAAGGTCGTCAGCAAAGCTAAAGTGGTCGAGAGGGAACTGCAGCCGTTCTGCTTTGACAACGCTCCTCCTCTTCCCAAGGCTGCATTGCGCTCACCACCAAAAGGACGTTCGCCGCGCAGCTCGCCACCTAAACAGCAGAAAGCCGCAAGCGCTTGCTCACCAGGCGGACATCGCAAGCTGCACCCAGCTTCCTGCACCTCTCCACCTCGCCGCGGTTCACTGGACGCCACTATGAACCGCACGCGGAAGCAGGCTATGGACAAGACTCATTTTGTTTCTCTGGAGTCAGCGGATGACCTTGTCCGCGTCCTTCGGGGAACCTCTAACATGATGCCGCAGCCTCCTGCCGCATCTTCAGTTCGCGCGTGCCCGGGATTTTTCTCAAGGTGAGTTTCTGTACTCCGGTATGCTCTAGGTTTCTCTTACTCCTTTTAGGATTCTTGAGGTTGAGCGCGTCACGTGTTGGCCAAGGCTTCCTGCTCAAGCAGTGTTTTGACTGCTCTTGCTCCATTACTTGAGCCGCATATTTGGTATGGTTGACTTCTCCGATTCCCTATTGTTCTCGACATAATTTGGACGCAGCCCGAGGCCTTGCGACATTCCCATGCCAACGAGTACCCTTCTAGTGAAGGCTACGCTAGTCAAGGCGTAATAAGGTTACAAGAAGATGATATGAATGTTTCGAGGTGCCTTTGAGCACCAACATACAACGACTCAGGTTTGGGGTGCATGGCGGAAGCCGCGCCCTTGCTTGCCTTGCCTCGCTTCGACTCATCGCCACATGTTTTTTTTCAAGAATGTTTTGGGAGACTGTTTCTCTACGTTGCTGCGGTATCCCCATGGACAAGCGGTCAACTGCCCGAGCCTTCATGCGCTCGGAGCTCACAAAGATAAGTGAGCCGGCAGGGCAATGCCGGAGCAGCTTTATGTTCGGTTGCGTTAACAGTAAGGGCTTGTTGTCAAGCCCTGCTTTCGTATGCGGCAGCTGAATGCATTTGTCGTGTGGCAGTGGTGTAGTTGTGCAGCGGACATCCGCAAGCCTTGTTGGCTAGTTTGTGCTGGAACGGAGGCCAGGTGAGATGCTGTCGGTAGGCTGCGATAAGGCCTTATCGGCCTTCACATCTCTGCTGGGCACCGTGGCTTGGTTTGGATGCTTCTGTTCGTGTATTGTGCGTTAGTAAAGGACGCTGTGCCGAGACTGTTTGTACATAACTATCATCGTTTGACCACGTTTTACAGCATCAGTTGTCTGTCGACGGTTTGAGTTGCCGGCAAAGCTGGTGCATTTTTGCGAAAAAGTCGCCCATGCAGGGTTTGGAATGTGGTCCAAGGTCTCGTTGTTCGCGGGTTGTTTTCTGAGCTTTCTGCGACAGTCACTGCGAGCGTGCAAGTCGAACGTCTGCATGTATCACAGAGTAAGTCGCAGGTGGCTATAGTAGCCCCTGCGACCTGATTGTGATGGATCCTTGGCTCCGTTCTAACCTGCCATTGATGTGGCCGTGACGCAAATTGATTTTTTTCTTGAGCTCCTGCGGGTGACAGTTGCCTGTTTAGGAGCGAGCTCTCGAGAACAAAGATAAGCTAGGGGGCTAGTCATGACGGTCCTCGCTAGCGCCGGACGCGCTTGTGTGGTCAACTAGTTTTGACTAGGTGCCTAGGGTTGCCCAGTAGGCGACTGGTTTAACGCTTTCTCAGGACGCGCGTATCTCAACTGACTGTTTTGGTTTTCCAACTACTAAACAGCTGCGATTTGTGTGCTTGTTGTTCACCTAGCTACAATGCTATCTTCGTAACAGGTAGTTTCCATTGCTGGTGAGTTCGCAGGGAATGTTTGCTGTGAAGCTTGGTGCTGCGCTGAGGCGAGAGAAGTGTGTTCTGTGTGACGTCCAATGCTCGTGAAGATGCCTTGCCATGTGTGTTGGCCCGCTTTTTTCAAGGGCCTGGCGTGGTGTTTTAGGGAGCATTGGCTATAGGTAAGATTCAAAGTAGCCTATGCTTATTATACCACTCTGTCTAGTGGAGATGTGAGTGGCGTGCGCGCAGATAGGGCGGGTAAAGTAGATGTATGTTTGTCGAGTCCAGATTATGGAGACATGGTTTGGGAACACATGGCGTAGGTTACAGCCAAGGAAGTTACGTGAAGGAAGCAGGAGCGTGTGCGCGGGTGTTGCGCGACGCACGCACGTGACATGTATGCTTTTGCTCGTGTTGCCGCGCATGGAGCGTCGGAATGCTTTCGACAGATTTGTGGATGGCAAGGCGTGGTCTGTATTACTAGAAATTGGTCCTGCGCCCCTGTTCTCGCTGACCGTCATTCAGTTGGCTGGCGATGGAGATGCGTATGCACCGCGCATTCTAATCTGTGGCATTAGTACTGATGGCATAGGTTTAGGACTGCATGTCGTGGTTGTCTTCTGGTCGAGGGGGTTGCTCGGTAGCAGCCGGGTGCTCACGACAACATTCATTTCGACATGATGGTGAAGGCATGTCGGCTGATGGTGTGAAACGGGATTGTGTGGCGCATGTCGCACGTGGAAGAGGTGACTGGCACCTATGTGACTGGAAGAATGGGTGGTGGATGGAACACCGGAGTGTTTCAAGTTGATAAAAGTTGTGCCTACTTGAAGCTCCTGGGCTGTACAGCTCCATTGAAAGGTTAAGGATTGTCGGTGCAGGAGTTGTGTCGTCTGATGCAACGCCTGCATTGCTCCTGTAGTTTCCTCTTTTTTATTTTCGTCCTGTAGCGACGGATCCGTTGCCGCTGCGGCCGTCAACTTGCGATGTGTTTAGTCTGCCGCCTTGGGCATTGAGCCTCTAGTAATTGCCTGGCCTTCTTATAAGTGTCGTCTTGCAATATACATGTTGTCTCCAACAGAGGCTAAGTATTATCTTGGCTATATGATAAAAATGAATCAAAGCTGTGTCGTTTTTGGTAACTACAATATATAGTAGTGCGCAAGTTCTGTTCCTTTGTAATTATTGCAAAATTTTATAATCTTCGCCTAAGATCGTTACACATCATTCCATGTATACTTGCAACATACAATCGCCAAACATAGGATGACCAGTCATCATTTTTACATCCAGATGATCATCTCAAGGGTGGATATTGCCACATTTACTGCCACCATAAGTCTAAATCCACCGTCACTTAAATCTTGATTATCTCCCAGTGCTGTTAGCTCGCTTCTTGCGGTCCTCTTCATGTTGGAACTCCACCAGCAGCTCGCGCTGTCGTGGACTCAACACCCGAGGCATGACGATACTGCATGTAAGCAAGAAGACAATAGGCAGAGAGGAAAGCAGTAGTACTGTTAAGGCAACATTGCGACGAGCTCGCCACGCTACCACAGTTCCAACAGCCGTATTCGTCGAGACTGCTGGCCCAGGTTCCCAAAGGCTCCCAAACAAACCGCACCCGCACAGCCGTACACCTGCACACCTGATGTCCACGTAGTGGTCACCCCGAATCCCGCGTCGCGGATTGAAGATGCCCTTGTTACGAATGCGCAGTCGGTCGCCCTGCTGCGTCAGGGGCGGCACAATGAGCTCCACGTTGCCGTCCAAAGTCTCCACGCGGGCCTGCACAAGAAGCAGAAATAAGGGGGTTAAGCGCGGGAGACGGGGGCCCCCACTGAACAGGGCATTAAGGATGGCAGGATCATGAGACAATGCGTTCCCATGTTTAGAGAAACCTCCATGAAAATCAACCCCTAGCGCAAAACCCAAGCACAACCGGAGCCCCAGGCTGCAGCACCCGGCAACCCCGCATTGCCCCTTTCCGCAGCACGGCGTTGTGCTCACCGTGGTCCCCAGCAGCGCGTCCGTGAGCGGGATCTGCAACGTGGTGGCGATGTCGCAGCCATCGCGCCGAAACGTGGGGTGCGGCTGCACCTCGATGGGGATGTTCAGCACCATGCGAGCACTTGCCCGGCGTCCCGGCCCCGGCATGTCAACCTAGCCAGTATTCCATCCATCCCCGTGTCCGCCGGACCGCCCAGTTGTGTGTTTTGGATCCCAAACACGTTCGGTGATGGTGACGATGGTTTGGGAAAAAGAGGAAAGGAGAAAGGAGGGAGGGACAGTTATATCCAAGTTGCAAAAGAACATCCGATGTCAAATGGACGGAGTGGGAGAAAGGACAGAACGAAACAAAGAGAGAAGAAGAAAGGACGCGCGGCAGCGACTGTGAGCCGCTGGAGCGAACAGCTGGCGGGCCAAGGATAATCCATTTTGACAATCAGGGGTTGATTGGCATTGGCATTGGCACGGATGCGCGACGGTGTCGTGGCGGTGGACAACGGCAGCATGCAACATGACGGGATTGAGTGGGAACGGCGATTAGCCGCTTAGCCTTCCACACCTCTTCCCCAGACACAAGTTAGGCAGTGGGACAGATTTGGACTGGGTGCCCCGCCGTTGGCCCACACGTCCGTATCGGCAGAAGAGGAGAAACAAAAAATATCATGTGATGTGATGTGCAGAGCACATTGAATGCAGAGTGGGAGAGGCAAGGGGCACACCACCACTCCCCTGATTATTCCCCCGAAAGCACCTCCAACACGAGCGCCGCCCACAGATGCTTACAATCTCACAATTCCATCCGGGGTCTTCACATGTCGTTACGCCCCACTCCCCCGGGCTCGCCCCTGACTCACGCGGCCCCCCCACACACACACTCACCGACGTCTCCACCACGTCCCCCGTGTCCACCCCAGGGGGAATGTCCAGGTCTATAGACCGTGTCGCGCCCGGCCGCAAACCTATGTCAACTTTCTTGCGAGTACCTTTCACAGCTTCCTGTAAGGGGCGGCGAGACGAAGCAAGGAGAAAGGTGTTAGGGTTCAGTAGCACGCAGCAGGCACTGCTCCAAGCTAACGGCCTAACCCAACCCCCGGGGCCAAACGGAAAGCTGCAAGCAGCGCAGTGCAAGCTGACTGCGACATGCGTACGACAGCTGTAGTGGCAGTGGTAGCGACAGCGGTTGTGGGGACTCGTGGAGTCGGTAACGCCCTCACTGCCACCATCACAGCCACCAAGGGGGCTCCACAAATCCTCCTCAGCCCCATTTAGCAGCTCACCCGTAGCAAGCTCCCCCTAACGGCCATCTCACACCTAACGGCCCTCCTCCCAAGTGCCTCGTCTCCCCCCTTTTCCTGTCCCTCCCGCCCACAATGGCTCAGCTGAAGCTTCAGACCCAAACCCCTGTGCTTCTCCCCTTCCTGCCCTCCCTCCTCCCAGCAGCGGTGGCCATCAGAGCAGTCCACCTAACACCACCCACCATGAAGGGGATGCGGAGGGGAGGCAGCTGCACGCGGTTCAACATGGCTTGCAGGCGGGGGTCCGCCCGGAAGAACTGCTCAAAGATCTCGTTCATCATGAAGGGCATGCCCTGCTGCATTACCGAGGGAAGCAACGGGTGGAACGGTGAGCGGATGAAACCGGGGGATGGAAGAGGCCAATAAGGAGCGTAAAAGAGCTGCTGTCAATTTTTTTGCTGGTTGGGTTTCAAGAGATGGCGCAGCGAGCGCTGCCAAGTATCTGTTGGACAGGCAGCGCACACACACCCGCGCCCATGCCCAGCCCTTTCCCGTTTTGCACAGCCATCGGGAGCAGATCGGGACTCTCTCCCTCTCCTCTCCTCTCTCCTGGGAAACTGGTCCTCCGTGTGGGACCCTCTCGTCCCCGCAGTGCTCTCCATCCATGGGGGACACCTCCCACTCTTGTCGGACCTTCTGAACCCCATAAACCCTTCCGGCTCCACGAATGCGAAGTTCCTGCGGTCCATATCTCCCCAGACTACAGTCATGTCTCTACTCCCATGACCCCGGCCAGGCTGTTGTGTTGCTAGTCAGCCAGCCGCAGTATGAGGGGAAAGCGGGGCGTCATTTCCTCTCCACGTCCTTTTCCTCCTCCCATAGCACACACACAAAAAAAAGTACCAGCGAGCGGCAAGCATAGGGCCGCCGTCTGAAGGTCTATCCGGTCCCGTCCCTAGCCCGTATGCGCTCCCCCAGGCGCGCGGCAGCGCAAATGTGGCGAGCCCCGGATGCGGCTCCCCTTGCCTCTTCATACGTGACCTGGCCGGCCCGTCCAGATTAGCACCGCTGCCGTGGTGTGGCCTGGCGTGGGTGCACCGCCAGCTTGGAAAGCAGCATAGAGAAGCGCTTCTGCGCCCCTGCACCCGTCATCCTGCTTCTATTCCTACCCCCGCTGCTGCTTTTGTCGCTGCTGTTACTGCTGCTGTTGCAACATCTTCATAACCGCACATTTGTCCGGGGCCCCGTTAGTATCACATTTGTTCGAAATGATACAGGTGCGGGCCCCGGGGGTTGCTGTTGCTGTTGCTCCTCCTCCTGCTGCACCTCCGACATTGCTGCAATCCTTCAGCCCCAGGGGCTGCCCGGCCAAGGGGCCCCCCTCCAGGCAAGGCAACCCAAGCCAGCCGGTCTCGCTCCCTCCCAAACGCAACATCCCTCCCAAGCGGCAGAGCTGCCCAATTCCCGGGAAGATCCGGGAATCCGTAATTCGACCAGACCATTCCACCAGATTACTGCGTGCCAGGTCTCTTCACCAGCCCTGAGGCTCACTAGGGTCCGTTGAGGTCCGTTCAAGCTAACCCTGAACCCTTCACCCGCATGACACGGATGCGGCTTTGGAGCTGCATAGCAGGAGGGCCCCGTGTATGGCTTTGGCCGAGTGATCTCCCGCAAGTGCTGAACCCTGAACCCTGAACACATGTTCCCATGCCCGGTGAGTCAGCGTGGTTATCAGCGTAATCGGCCAAGGCTGTGAATACCTCCGCCCGCTAATCCAGATCCCATTGCTCGCGGCTTGGTGGGGCCGCCATCGCTAATGCAGGCACCTCCCTTAGGTTTGCTTAGGCCTGCGCAGTTTGCTCTGTACCTGGTGGCGCCCAAGCCATAGGAAAGGCCCCCGACCCAGATCGCCACACGGCACACATCTCCTTAACCTAAATCAGGTCGCCTTGATTGACCCAGATCACCCAATCCTGATCCAGCGCTTCGCGCTCGCTCACCCCGAATTGCATTCCGCCTTGGAAGCCCTCAAACCCAGCCTCCGGGCCGCCCGACTGCCCACCCGACTCCATTCGGTCCATGCCCTCTCGCCCAAGCTGGTCGTACAACCGGCGCTTCTCAGGATCCCGCAAGACTTCGTAAGCCTTTTGGAGCTCCTGGAACCGAATGGCTGCGGCGGGGTCATCCTGCAAGTGGGTAGAGTGCCCAGGGAGGAAAGCAGAGCGTACAGGGTTTTACGAGGTGGGGAACCGTTGAAAAGCACCGCGCGGGGAAACTACTTACCTTATTGGTATCCGGGTGGTATTTTTTGGCAAGTTGATAGTAAGCCTTCTTAATGTCCTGGTCCGACGCCCCCTTGCTCAGGCCCAGAATTTCGTAGTAATCGGCAGCGGCCGTCGCTGCGGAGGAACGCTTATCAGCATATTACGCACGCCGCGCGACGGGCTATGTGGAATAAGGACTAGATCATTTTCCTTTGCGCTTACCTGCGCTACTATGAATCAATCGAAGAGGACAAAAATCCCATATGCGAAGGCGACCTACATCCAGCAATGGCAGAATTTGCACACTTTATGTCATAAGAATAATAATGTTCATGACCTTATGGGGGGTCCAAAACGCCCTTGCCTGAGCAACTTGGTTGCGATGGGCCCGTCGCCGATCGCAGCAAAGTGCACAAGCTCCGCGTACAGCTTTGAGCTCCACCATCAAGGGCTTTTGTTACGTTCGCTGTAAGCGATGTGATATTGTTCCCCGCGCTGCGACCTGCCTTCGCAGCAAGCAAAGCCAATCTCAGCGCACGACTCGATCCCATCGGCTAGAGCAACGTTTGCAATTCAAATCCAAAAGATTGCAAGGCAGTTCGATGAGCGTGAACAATTTTAAAACGGCGCAACGCTGCTGCCTTCTTTGCCAAAAGGCTCTGTAGAAGCTGTAAAATTAACCTGTAAACGCCTACATGCAAGTGCAGCAACCTCTCCCATCAAACAGCTTCATCTTGACGGTGGTGCACACCGACCTTCCAGAAGGCGATGCCACGACATGCAAAGCATGCATCTGCAGTACGGAACCAAAGCCTAGCCGACATGCATTACAAATCCTTACATCTCACTACTAAGAAGCTTAAATCGTGTACATAAAGGAACAACAGCTCCTGCGGCATTACTTTGTATGCGAATAACCGCTTCCCGGTACCGGAATAGCCACACCCTCACAAATCCTCGACAGCGGCAAAGAGCACATATAAACCTGACATCTAAGCATCTTAGAAACCCAACGCAAACGACCTCTTAACCTCGTTGCGCGTGAGTCTGCCTCTGGACGCTGTGTACGCACCAAAATCGTCCCCACGATCTCCACCCTTCCCTCCCCACACACACCCAACCCAACCACCGTCCCGCTTCCATGGACTCTGCAAATGTCCGCTACCAGTACCGTCTATTTGGGCCCTGCAGTTCATTCTTCACACCGCCCACCACCCTAGGCCCAAGCACCAGAAGCAAAAGTCACAAATGAATCACAATCAATCCATTCGCAAGCACACGCAACGCAAACAACCAATCACAGCGAAGAAAAAGCACAACCATCAGGCGAACAGGCAAACGAACCAACAGAGGACATAAAATACAAGCAAAAAAGAAATAGAAAGAGGACCAAAAATTGGACCCAGCCGTTCATTCCGCCACACCTCCCTATATTTCGTGGTGAAGGTCGACTTTCCCTCCTTTTCCATCCAATAAGAAAGTGAAGCGGCAGGGCGCACACTTGGACGAGCTCCCTAAGGCCCCCAACCCCCCACCGCCCCCCAAATCCCCGATGTCGGCACGCGCCCCGTAACCCCCACCCACCCACACGCAACCCCAGGGC